AAATGCAGCTTAAACGCTGACTATATACACTGTATTCATTGTTGGAAAGAACATGGAATTTGCATTTTAGGCTGATTTTAACTCATCTCTTGTTGCCTTATAACTGTACCTTATTGTAGAACTCTCTAGAGGAAGTTATGGCAATTTTTCTTAGTCAAAGTGTCCAGACAAAAGCCGATAAGATGATCGTGCCGAAGATAACCTACATAGCCTGTTAAGAATTACGCTGAAATACCAGCTTTAGCTTAAGGCAAGAAAGATGTAGTGTTTAACACTTGCGTTACAGTCTTGGGTAAGGCTGACTTCGGCATTTTACATGTCCTGTATAACTTTTAAGAAACGCTTTGCAAAATTGAGCGTATATTAAAAATTAATGCGGTTAAGCAAATAATTAAATTGACGATTTAAAAAGTGATACATATGTATTCCTTTTCAAATCGTCACTCTAATTAAGTACGTTTCCCTTCCTATGTACTTCAATTACCTATTCCCATCTATCATCTAGTCATCAGCTATTTTTTTTCTTTGTTAGTGTGATCTACGAAGTTTCTGATACGATGGCGGTGACGTTCATGAAGAATTGAAGCCGCTGTTTGAACTCTCAGTCGTTCAGAGATAATGAACGCTTCAGCTCTTCTGCTGTCGGTGATATCCACTAAAATACATTTTGTTTCCTAGTCAACATCCATCGCTCATCCGTTCTTCTCAATACTTGCATAGCCTATCGCTGATTTTCTAAGACGTGTTCCTGGGGAACACGAATACGGGACTTGACTTCATTTTTGAAATGCGTTTGCGAGGTGATAAGTGCGTTGGGACTTTAAAACGGTTCTTGCAGCACTTTTGAAATTGTTCAGAGAGTTCTAGCGTAACCAAAGCCTGGAAAACAGCTGAATCGAACTGGTGGTTGCCGCTCTAGGTACTGTAATTCTACGGTGATGCAGTGTGAGCGGCTGATGCTACTTTTTGTCCTTAATAAGTTCTGCCCTCACATTTTTTTTCGAATTAAACATACGTACGTAAAATTTCTCCAAAATAAGCCTTCTGATTCCGCCTCTTGATTCTTTCAGAATGCCTTCTTCCTCCTACTGACTCGCAGTACC